TTCACAGTTATCCATTCGTACACCATAATTTCTTGTACTAATTATGAAGCAAATCTCTCTTTTTTCACATGTAAGTCTCTCCCATCCTCATTCCTATTTAAATACTAAAGGTCTCCGCCTCTACGAGTACATTGCCAGCCAGAAGGCTAAAAGGAATGCTTCTGTGAATATGTTCCAATATACAATCAGGAAGACTGAGGAAAAAAAGTGATTTTAAAAATCATATTTCTAGTTATCATTTCAAGTTGAAATTTTCCATCAAAGTCAGTAGTTGTGGGGTTTATAGTATGAGGAATTGGTCCTAGTCAAACCTATCGAGTATCTGCACATTTGTGAAGATAAATTTAATTAGATTCTGGGATGCTGGCATACAGGTGTGGGTACTTTACAGTTGTATCTGGAAAGTAATAATACCCCAGCGAATCAACGGCGTAATACAATTACCCCCACTTTCCATCAACTACTATGGCTCTACTATATGTCAGGAGAGAAAATGAAGATTGGAATCAAGAAATATGTACCCTGTATAAGCATACAGATATGGGATATTATAAAATTTCAAAGGCTTTGGGAGTCTTTAAGGCAACTATTCAAAAGGTTATGACTAGAGCCAAAGAAAGAGGTGGAGATATCCACTATGCTTTCAAGCCTGGCCATCTAACAAATATTACCAATACCAAAAGAAGAGTAGTAGAGGCTATTATAGATGCCGAGCCTCATTTAGTGTTATGCAAGATCACCCAAAAAGTAAATATTGGTCTTGGTAAGACCAGTATAGATAAAATCATATCAGATGCTAGTTTTAAGCCTTTAATACCAAGGAAAAACCCTTTCTGGAGGAAAGGACAGAAGGAGAAGAGAAAGGAGTTTGCTAGGAGAAGGAGGAATTGGAGGAGGGCATGGAATTGGGTGGTCTTTGTTGATGAAGTTACAATTATCTATGATCCAAATCCTATTAGGAGGAAGGTCAAGATAAGAGTTGGTGAAGTGTTGGAGGAAAAAATCTTAAAGCCTAGCTTTAAGTCGGGAAGGACTAGCATTGGGGTCTATACTGCAATAATGAAGGATGGCAGGACTGAGTTAATTCTTGTGAGGAAGAAGACTGAGGAGGAAAGGACTAGCAAAAGAGATAGACTTGGCCTTAATTCCTCCCAATATGCAATTGAGATCCACTAGCCTTACCTCATCCCTTTTATAGAAGGTCTTGATAGATCTTCTAAAGGCATCTACCTAGCTGCAGATAATACCTCATGGCATGGTGGTGCAGAAAATCTGAAATTGCACTCAGACTCTAGTTATCAGAAATTGCCTTGGCTACCCAACTCCCCAGATCTCAATCCAATTGACAATTCTTGAGCACTTCTCAAAAGAGCTATCAGAAAGCAATTCTCCAGATTGGAAAGAACATCCCACAGTACTGCTGAATAATTTCTGGCAGCAAAGGAAGAGTGGGATTTAATTCCTCAGGAGACAGTGGATAGGTGGATAGTTAGGATGCCAGAGAGAATTCAGGCTGTATTGGATGCAGAAGGAGGTTATATAAAGTGGTAGTAGGATTTTTTGAAAGCCTATTGTATCTACTTTCAGTTTTCTTTTAATTGAGTTTCTACTTTGATTTTTTCTATGGTTGATTTCATCAATGGTGGTGGTTGTGGTTGCCGTAGAAGGGTATCATTACTTTCCAGACACGACTGTACAGCACAGTACTTTACAGTACTGTACTAGGGGGGGGAAGAAAGTAATGCGATACCCGTGCAACACAAATTCCCATACGGAAACAATATCAACAACATATAGTACTACCATTTTCCACAACCACATTCAATAAATAAAATAAGTAAAGGAGATAAAATTAAAAAATGTAGTATTTCCTTAAAGTAAAATAAAAAGAAAATCATAAATCAATAATGAGTTTGGTGCCCTTTTCTTCTAATAACCTCTCTTACCCGCTTTGGCATACTTCTGCAAAGATCCACAAACCTTCCATCAGGAATAGCTTTCCATGCTTCCTCCACAGCTCTGATTAGCTCTTCCTTACTTGCAACTCTTCCATACCTTTTCCCCAAGTAAGTTTCCATATCTCCCCAAATATTTTCAATTAAGTTCAGGTCTGGTGACTGTGGTGGCCAGGGCAATATATCCACCCTATTCCTTTTTCTACACTTTGTAGAATATCTATAATTAAACTAGTAGTTAGTTTATATTCTTAAGTAAGTATTTCTATATCAAAAAACAGAAAATACAATAATTATAAGGAGGTAGAACCTACCCTTTATACCCTGGTGCACCATCTTCAACAACCCTAGTCCAACCAAATCTCTCATAACACTCATGCCAGAAAGGAATTAAAACTGGATCCAGAATATACTTAGTATACTCATAAGAATCCACTTTAACCTTTCCTAGTACTACCACTAGCTTTGACCTCAAATTCCCACAAAAGGCTCCCCATACTATAACTGTCTCCCTTCCTGACTCCCAGACCTCATCAATGCAATCCTGATCATATTCCTCAGAAGGTTCTCTTATCACCTATCCTCTCTGCCCAAATCCAGCTGTAGAGAATGAGGTTTCATCAGTCCATATGATTCTGGACCAGTCTCTCAATTTCCATGCTCTTTTTCTCAAACACCAACCAAATTTAATTGGTATATTTTTAGGGCGCAATCCCCATCCAAAATATCTTTTAGTTATGTAAACACTTGAATCTTCATTAAAGTACTTACTTCTTGCGTGGTTTTTTTTTATTTAAATTAAGACTCTTAGCTGCCTTCCTAATTGTCCTGGATGATACCTTTAATCCCTTCTCTTCTTTAATATCCTCCCAAGAGAGTCTTCTATTTCTTTTATTTTCTTTAATAAAAGACTTTAGATCAAGTAGATCAGACTCCTGGAAGATTGGAGGTCTTCCTGTTCGCTGGTAGTTGGAAGGACTACCTGTTTTCTGATACCGTTGATAGATACGAGCACAGGTACTATGGTGAACTTTAAGGCCTCTTTTTTCCTCAAATTCGGCAGCTATCTTTCTGAAAGACCACTCCGCTATTTCTCGGAGAGCAATAATACGGATCTGGTCATCACGCGTGGTTTCCCGCTTGAAGCGCTGTTACTTCTTCGTCAACGATCGCCACCACTCAAGATTTCGTGGACTAATCGCTAAATCATTTAATTTTATTATTATTTCAACTTTATGTACATACTCATTTAATTAAACTACTTACGCTCACTTCTGCGGGTTCCCTTTACCCTCATAGTGCTTTTCTGAAATGGTTTGGCAGGTGGTGGAGGATATAGTGAGTATTGTAGTAATGGGGGTTGGGAGTAGAGTTGCGATCTTGTGGGAAGCGGTTGCTACTGTGTCGCACTACTTCTTTCCCCCCCCTCGTACTGTGTTCCCATATTGAATTTCGAAGTTTTGAATAGAGCTACCCTTGTGAAGATCCAAATTTATGAGGTTATAAAGTGGCTAAAGTGGCATTATGTATCAAAATTGCGATTGCGACCGGTTACAGTACTGCACTGCACTGCCGTCTTTGATAACTCAAGCGGCCCGAAGGCCCGGGAATTAAAGATCCGCAATACGATAGACAATCTAATATCTACTTCGTCAAATGCAACAGTACAGGTACTCGTATCAGGGTTAGTCGCACACCATGGCGACGAGCCCTGGCACAAATTGGTATAATGCTTGGCTCCTTGGCGTGGGACTTGTGATATTAGGATAAGAGTAGAGCTATCTATTCATCTATCAATGTAAAAAATCTTATAAAAAATCCAGAACTACTTGAGACCTGCTAATATTTTTCTAATTTTGTTTTCTAGCAATTCAATGTGGTTCTGTCCGGGGGTTTCACTTTTTCGATGGTATATTTCTCGGTCAATGGTATCTGGAAGGTTTTTTCGCCAAGAGCATGGTATTGAAAAGGTTCACTCTATTGAAAAGGTTCACTCTATTGAAAAGGTTCGCTCCTATCGTACGCCGTCTGCAGTCGAGCCGCTACCGTGACCTGGGTTGGTACCGGTGTAAAACATCCAGTTCAGTCACACACCGATGATCCCATGTCCCCCTCTCAGCCCCGAAAGCGCTACGCAAACTGGAGGTGAAGCTGTTATCGTGTTTTTTTTTAAATACGCTACTTACGCTTAGCTTGCTTACTACTTGAGGGGTTACAGGAATGGAAAATAGACAAAGGAAACAGGAAAAGGAAAACCGATTGAATGGAACGGGATACGGAGATGTGAAGAGAGGAGAAAACAACGCCGCCGCTCAAGGGCCAGACAAATCATCGTTCCTATTCACTACAATACTCTACTTGTACGTGTTCCATACTTCCACCTGACAACAGCTCGCTACGTAAGGGGGAATAGAGCAGAGACTCAAATAGTTGGATAATGTGCTACGGTAGGTAGTCCAGAATTTCATTCTTTGGAAAAGGCGAAAAGCGCAGCAATAAAGGTCCGCCGTTCAGCCCCTCTGGAGGACAAATAATAATAATAGCAATACTCAACCTTACCGGAGGAGGCAACTCGAACGACATAGCACACGGTCCAATTATTTGAGATTTTACCGTAGTGAAAAAAAGAAGGGGGGGCGGAACGAAAAGAAGGAAAAGGAGACAGGGTTTGGTAAATTAAGGACACGTAAAGAAAATACGAGCCATTGTGAATCGGAGGAATATAGGAGCTTGAAGGAATGTTAGGGTTTTTTTTTTTCGTCCAAGAAAAAAGGGGGAATCCTCCCCCAAAACAATACTTATTGTTTCAAATCTCGCGGGGTTATGGTGATCAGAGGGAGGAAAGAGGGAAAGAAAAAGCACGCAATAAAGTAAACTAAACATGATAAGTAGTACTCGTAGAAAGGGAAAAAAAGTCCAGCTATCATTTCTATTTCCCCTTTTTCTTAAATAATCCAAAATATACTCCCTGTTGCATCGAGCCAAATGATGATGACAATACAAAAGTGAAAACGATCCCTTGTTAAGCGAAGGAACGAAGAAAGGAAAAGGAACGTACAGAAAAAAAGCGTGTAAATTTACAGCATGTGTGTGTAAAGGAGGGTGAGTCAATTGGTTGATGGATTGTGAGAGGCACTTTTCTCTGAAAGAGAGAGTGTGTATGCGTGCCCGAACATTCCATTTTTCAACGAGTCGGTCACCCAACCCTCCGCTGTCCTGCGTTATTGCTCCCACTGGAGGAGGAGATGTCTTCATAACTGGCCCTCGTTGTTTGGGAGCCATGACCAGAGTCCCTAAACGAGTGAGCCAACCCGGCCATCGAAAATGGCTCACCGCTTCCCTGAGAGTGTGATCGGGGCAGGGGATGGATGGGAGGCGAAGGAACCCAGTGAGGTGGGAACCGTGGAGGTAGCGAGATTTGGCCCACCCCCTGAGACTGTTTTCTCCTCTGTCGCTTCTCCTGCTGCTGGTGCGCCTCTTCCTCTTCCTCTTCCTCCTTGGCAGAAACTGACAGCCTTTGTAACTGCTCAGGGGTAGGAAACATCATGCTCGTGTGCGGGGTCTGGATGCTCTGCATCATATCGGGGCAATTGTCCTGATTAGGGGTGAGGCTCTCCTGGTCGCGGTTTTGTTGCATGAAATGGGGCGGGGCCTCCTGCATAGCAATCGGGTTATCGAAGTTCGTGTGAATAGGCATCCCAGCAAATGGAAATGGATCTGTAAGTAGACCACGAAATATATCCGGGAAATCCCCAAGCGGTTGCCCTTGGTTGTTCCCCATTTGGCCTCTCATATCGTTGTGAGATTGTTCCTGATGGTGGTGGTGACTATAGTCTCCTTCCCCTTCCCCTTCCCTACTTGCTCCTCCTGCGTGGTTTTCCGGGGCCTTGCGGTGGGCCCTGGAATAGTTGTCGTCATCTTTGCTTCTTCTTTTCGAAGGAGGAAAGTCTCTCTGTACATCTGATGTATCACCTCCGATCTTAGGTGCCGCCACAATAAGCAATTTCGAAAGTACAGTGCAAGATCTCTCTGCTCCAAGATTATTCGTTCCCATGGCCCTTAACCACGAAATCACCTTCTTTGAATCTTTCAACAACCCATCCGCCTGTTGGGGGTTATGCTCTGCCCGCATAGCGATCTCCACAATCAAAACAGTTCCAGCGGACACCAAATAATGTAAGAGACACCACCAAGGGGATCTACTTATCAGACCGACGGGATTCGGTTCATCAGGGAGGAGCGCTATCATCTCACGAGCGGCCTCAACACAAGCGGCAGCCGCAGACCGGTTAAACCCACGCGAGCGCTTGGATTCGTTAGGTATCCGAGAATCTAGCCGACAAAGACAAGGTCGATTGATAATTATGCGGATATACTGATACTGAAATGCCAAAGCCATCCTCTGGCGTAGGGTCAGATACGCTAGCTTTCATAGTCAAGGCATATATCCGACCTTACCTGTCGACAATAAGTTTGCTCTCTGTGCCTTTTACCGAAATCCAAGAGCAGAGGGAGGTCTGCTCGCCATTTCATAACCTTTAATTCCAGTGCTGATATGATTCCCTGGATGTCACTCCAGCTCCGACTTTTAGTGGCAGGGCGGTACAGTTGAGAAAGTACATCCGATGTTATCTGGTTGAGTTTAGTGTGCTCTATGAAATACGTGGCGGGATATTCGGGGATAATGGGAGGAATATGGAGGGGCATCGACGGGCCTTGCTCGTTGGTGGTGGCGGTGGCCCTAGAAGACAATGAGTTGGGAGTTGAAGCAAATATGTCGAGATTGAAATGTGGTAGGGGAAACCTTGATGTGTTGGACGAAGGGGTCGGGGGGGTCATGACTTGGGGAGTACCTCCTAAGTTCCGAACCGAAAGCCTCTTCAGATAGATACTGCTCCTGCTCAACAGGCCTTGGCATAGGTACACTGCAATCCTTGTTCTGGATACAAGCTGGTCGTCCCGTCATAGTGCATAGCAAATGATCGAGAGAGTACAGTGTGTACCACATTCGAACTCTCATTTCTTTCTCTACTTCATCAAATTCTGGAACATCGTTGCGCAGGTTCAAGCCTAGGGTTTGCGCGTAGCGCACAGCCAGACCAACAACATTCCATGCGCTGGTATGTCCAGATGCGTTTAGTCAGCCATACCTGAAGAACGAAGAAGAGGAGTATACGACGCGGTATGGTCATGACGGCAAATGATAAACCATCTGATCCCACAAGATTTCCTAGCGACGCTCGACTCAGGGGGACATGAGTGAATAGATACCGGTTTGTCTGATTACTAGCAATCAAATAGATTCCTGCTAGGCCCACAACTTGGACCTGCTGCAAATCCGGAACCTCAAACATACTGCCCTCATCCAGGCTCAGTACTCGCGCCCGAGCAAAGTACCGCAGGTGTTCCAGTTCCGACTCCCCTTTCCATTCAGCGTTGATAAGCCTCCCATAGAGAGCACTAATGGCAAACATCAAATTAAGCATGGCCAACCAGCGCTTCGAACTTCCCGGGGGGAAGAACCATTGGAAAAAGGCGTCATACTGGGCCATGAAAAGCCCCTTCAACACAATCGGAAATGTTGGATAAACTGTTTCAAAGAAGGCACCTAATAGCTGGTCGGCTATATCCTTCGGGGGAAGGTAAAACGGATTGATGTCGCCTCCGACGATCGAGACCGACAGGTCGTCTAGGTGGTAGGTGGGGGTTTCAAATTTGTAGTCCTCATCACCCTTCGTCCCGTGAGCTATTGACTCCAAAGTCTGTCTTTTAGTTGAAAGTCCAGATATACTAGAAACCGAAGTTGATCGGGAACCGCTCGTCGCGGTAATACCTGATGTAGAAGTTATTGCACCCCCTGGAGGCGAGCTTTCGATGGAGGAACTCTTATTAGCCTCGCTGGAGAGTTGTTGAACTATTCGTTGAATCCATGCCACTTCGCTGTTTTTGCCCATGTAGCCAGTTGGGTAGGTATTATCAGCAGGATTAGGATCCTGGCGTATGCGGTCGACGGAGCCAGTAGAGCAAATATCTGCCGTAACAAGAGATTCCCCATCACGATTCTTCACAGTGGATCGATATTGTTCAACTTCGGGGGACTGCGATGCCAAGAAAATATGGTGAGCGGTTATGAAAAGCAAGTAAATCCCTTCCTCGAAACATGCACCAACCTCTTGCAAGGCCCTTTGGACCGCCAACTGTCCAGCGTTGTCCACCTGGCCTTTTAATTGATCCAGAAGGGTTTCGTAAATTTCAACTCTTTTTTTCAGCATAATCATCTCGCTAGGAAAAGGTCAATGAAAAATATTCGCCTCTAATTAAACAAGCTGAGCAAGAAATCCAAACTTTTTGGCCCTGTCTCGCTTCCCATCCGCATAATAACAATTATATTTGAAGTCTTGACAATGCTTGCAAGTTGGTCTGTACCAGGGCTTAAGTCAGCAATGATAGCTGGGCCCGGAGAATATTTAAGATTTCCGTACCGTTCGCCACTGCACTGTTTACATCGGCGTGTTGGAGATTTGCGATAAACCGTCAGCGCCTAGCTCAGAACATCCAAGATTGAATGAAATCAAGCATTGATCTGACAGGCCAGGTTGAGGGCTGTGAAGGCGAACCTTTGTTTTTCGCTGTCGACAGGGCTCACAAGCGTGAGATACCCTATGTTTGTCACTCCCACCTCCAGAGCCATTGTTGCCTTCTTCCCCTCCAGCAATGCTCGACCTTCGGAGCCGAGGAATCGGGATTTTTAAGGGCGATTGGTTATTAGGAGATTGGGCGGGCTCTTGCGAAGAAGAATAACTCTTACTCTTCCGAGAGGCGCTGGCAAATGAACTGAGTCGAGGGTCTGCCATTGTTGAGAGGGATACTAAATTCAAGTGAACCCAAAGAAAAAGTGAGGGAGAGAGAACAGGTGTTTAAGGGCAAAATGGAAAAGGGCAGAAGGGAAAGAAAAAAGGGCAAGAGAGAGAGAGAGAGAAGCGGGGCAAAAGGGTGGTATGAATATTCAGAGAAGACTCTATCCAAGATTTACCCCGGGATTTTGATTGGCTCTCTTTTTGGGTGGTAGGTTCCTTGAATTTTTCTTTCCCTTCCCAAAACAAAGGGAAGGAGCTTGCGCAAGCAGGAGGGCAGAGTGGTGAGAGGGGATAAAAATGGTCCGGTCCAGACCCAGTAGTAGCTAAGAGGAGCGCAGCAGGAATGACTTGAGCGTCGCCGCTCACACAACCGCTCGAGGATACCTCTCGAAGATATGCCGGGAATAATATATGGCTGAGAACTTCTCTCGGAGCTGAAGAGGGTGGTATCAAGGGTTGGGGGAGGAGACGGAGGATGAGGCAAGATAGGATACCGGTATATAGGGTAGGAGTACCTGCACCGTCTAATGGAGGAATAGAGGGTTGTAGCTAGTTGAGGGGGTCAGTGTGGGGTGCGCGGAGGGGGGGGCTTGCAGGTAATCGTTTACCGATACTTGGTGATAAACAGTGGCACCTTGAATCAGCGGCTCCGGAATTTCCGCTGCGATAGGCTTATTTTAAGGTGTTCGCCTCGTCTCGTCTCCTCTGAGATGGGCCTGTAGAGTGACAAGCACGACATTCCTACCACGCAAGGTTTTGGGAGTCAGAGCGCAAAGCTCGCCGGTTCCGAGGAGCTCTAGTAAACAGAAGAGTGGACGCGGTTGGTGGAAACTTGTGTCATTCGCTCAGAAAAAAATAAAAAGTCACTCGAGTATAATATGTAGATGAGGATCCGAGACTTGATCCCGTTGATCTTGCTTTGATTTTGTGCCTCGACTGGTGTCGAGGGGCCATCGAAGGTTTCGTTCCTTCAGGCTACTCCACCGAATCTGCGATATGACGTCAGTGGAGCTTGGTGGGGATACTTGGCTCCCTAACCAACTTCAATAGACACCCGCCCTCCATACATCCATTTTTATTCCATACTTTGCCCAACCTGTGAGCCAGATGCTTTTACTTCCTCAAGAATGCGGTACTGTACCCTGCCGTACCGGTATGCGCGTCGCATGGCTGGGTCATATGTCCCCCCGTGGGGGCCGCTGTATCGAATCGGACATGGGGAAAATTCCGGCAGATGAGACGGTAAGTTCGGATTCTGCTATCAGCGGGGAGCGAGTGTGTCGGGGGTTTCCCAGAGATGCAGGAGAATGCAGAATGCCGTAGAATAGAGAGATATCTGAATAGCGGTTTCAAAGAGAATAATCAAGGCCCTGTTTGGCACGCAGCCATATAAAATATCCCTGAAAACTCAATTTTTGCTAAAACATCAAGTTTATTTGACTAGAGACCACAGGAGAAATCCATATACTCGTCGTGTCGTGACGTTTGTGAATTGGACCGGGCTTGCATGGTGGCGCACAGGGGTGCATTTTGGGCAAGAGTGAATCTGAATAGGCATAGTAGAATAGTTAGTGTATACTATAGTATTATTAAGTAAAAAAATAGGGGAATTCATAAAGTATACATCGCGTCCAAATATTCTAGTAAATATCAACAACACGGAAATTCATCAAAATGTCAACACCATGAGGCTGAACAACATCATTGGCTAAGCATGGCCAGATTGTTGGATACTCTATACTTAAAGGATTACAAAAGATGAGTTTAGCAGACATTTCAGCAAAATCCGGGGTGCTAATAAGTACTTGTTCAAATATTATCAGAACAGCATGCTACCGAGCCAGGAAAAAAAAAAAAAACCAGAATCCTGATCCTTGTACAGGTGAAAATCTTACTCCACTACCAAACTCAGCAAAAGGCTCCAATGAGACCTTGACACAATAGCAGAAGGAACATTTAATGGAGGTTACTCTGCAAGATGCAGATCATTGCCGTATGACCTTTACATAGTTAGCAGAAGCAGGTACTAGAAACTCTTTTTTTATTTTTTATTTTTTTATTTAATTGATAATTAAAGTTGGAACATGTAACTAATGATTAATACTTTTTTTAAAAAAACAAAGCGGAACTGAACATGAGCAAGCAGACAGTTTCTAAAGTGCTACATGAAAATAAAATATATTGCTGAAAGCCAGTCCGTAAACCAACACTTGGTCCAGAACAAAAGCCAAGACGACTTGTCTTTTGTTATCAATACCAAAATTATGATTGGAGGAATATCATCTTTACAGATGAGTCCTATTTTGAGACTGGAAATCTGCGGTCCTGCAGAGCCCATGGAGTACTCTGTCGGGCTGGTAAAGCCTATCTGCCACAGAAGATTGATTGAAAGTTTGCTTAAGAGACAATAGTTATATTTTAGGGTGTAATCCTCCATGGAAAAGCTAGTATGTACAAGTATATTTTTAATTATATACTTTTTATAATTTAATTTATACTATATTATATTCAAAGTTATTGTTTATTATTACTTTATAGTTTAACCAATTTGATTTCTAATATGTACATATTGTTTAATACTAATAAATTATTTAATATATACTAGGCTATGAACTCTCATATCATATGTACAGTATTCCATATGAGACAGCCAATCAATGGAAAGAAGCCACTTTTTCTCTCCAAAGAGAGTATCAATTATAGCTAGCAGAAAATCAAAATGCCAGCTACTTGGGATTGCCAATCCCATTTCCGGACCCTATATTAAAAACCTGGAAAGTGGATAGAAAAGGGGACATTGACTAGTATATTTACTATGAGCGAATTCTTAACCCCCTTCTCTATCCATTTACCAGCTGGGCAGAAGCAGAGTTTCCAGAGAGAGATATTGTAATAATGGAGAACAATGCTCCAGCACATATCCACTATTATCATAATATCCCCCGTGAACGGCCTGGGTTTACAAAGCTCGTTTGGCTCGCAAACTCTCCAGATTTGAATCCAATTGAGACAATCTGGACAGAGCTAAAGGACATTTAATATGAAAAATTAGTGCATAAATGACTGTGCAACAGATTCGTGTTGCTCTTGAAGAGGTAAATTCAAAATCCCGTTATTATTATTTTTTATCTAATACTATTCTAGGCTTAGAACAGCTACCTACAGGAAAGGATCAATTATTATATTGACTCTATGTCTCAATGGATCGCAGCTTGTATTGAGGATGAAGGAGAAAACAATTCTAATTTTTAAGTTTAATTTTTAATTTCTGTAATAATTATAATGTATAATAAATAATCCTTATTGTATTGCTATTTATATTCAATTGATTCCTTTTCCAGCTCTTCTGTGACTTTGTGCATGTCCCTTTGCACCATCTGCAAGCCCAGTCTATTTCACAAAAGTTACGCCACAAAGAGTACAGTTATGTCTGGAAATCTTTCATACCCCTGCAGTACAATCCCGTAACAACTCATTACTACAACAACTCTCCTCACTATGGCCCCTCCATATAACCTAAGAGCGAGAGAAGACCTGAATAAGGAAATTTATACCCTGTATAGACATACAGATATGGGATACGACAAAATTTCTAAGTCTTTAGGTGTATCCAAGTCAACTGTTCAGTCTGTAGTTAAAAGAGCTAAATTTAGGAGTGGAAACACTCACCATGTAAAAAGAGGTGGAAGACCAACCAAGATTACCGACATAAAAAAAAAGATAGTGAAGTCAGTTATCGATGCCGAGCCTTATTTAGCATTACACGACATTACCAAAAAAGTAAATATTGGTCTAGGTAAAACCACTATTGATAAGATCATATCAGAAGCTGGTTTTAAGCTTCTGATACCTAGGAAAAAGCCTTTTTGGAGAAAAGGACAAAAGGAGAAAAGAAGAGAGTTTTCTAGGAGAAGGAGGAACTGGAAAGGGGTATGGAATTGGGTTGTTATTGTGGATGAATTGACCATTGTTGATAATCTAAATCCAATAGACAGAAAGATCAGAGTTAAACCAGATGAAGAGCTGGAAGAAAAAAACTTAAAGCCTAGCTTTAAGTCTGGAAGGACTAGCATTGGAGTATATGCTGTAATAATGAAGGGAGGAAAGACTGAGTTAATTCTTGTGAGAAAGAGGAGGGAGGAGGAAAGAACTAGCAAAAGAGACAGACTTGGCCTAAACTCTCACCAATATGCAACTGAGATCTACTAGCCTTACCTTATCCCTTTCATAAAGGGTCTGGATAGACCTTCTAATAATATATACCTTGCTGCAGACAATACTTCCTGGCATGGTAGTGAGGAAAATCGAAAATTGGAAGTAGACTGTGGTTACAAAAAACTCCGCTCACCACCCAATTCACCAGATCTCAATCCTATTGAGAACACATGGGCACTACTCAAAAGAGCCCTTACCAAGGGATT